TTCCTTCTAGGTTTGATTTATGGCATGAGAATCAAAAGTGACTGCAATCCTTTAATGCAACACTCGTTCAGGATGTAATGCAACACTTGAGCTGTGGGCAAGTTCTGGATCTCAGATCACAGCAATATTACTGCCTGATATTAGTACTGGTAATAACATCTTCACATTACAGTACTTAGGACCAAGAGGATTTTATTTCTTCACGTAGTGAAGCTTTTTGCATTATCAACAAATCATATCCTCCAATGTTCTTTTCATCCCCATCCTCTCTCCTGAGCTGAGGGTACTGAAGAGAAATGCTAGAAGTAGTACTTCAATAGTTATCCGCCAGGAAATACACCTGATTTAAAGCTCCAATTCATGGAGTTGGGCAAGGCAAGATGGGAAAATAACTTTCAGAAGCAAGAAACAGGTTTATCTTCCATTAGAAGGAAAATTCATTTCTCGTATTTACATATCTGAAATGAATAATTCCACAAACTTGACACGTAAATACTGTAGGTCTGGTGCTCATACAGTTCATACAGGAGCAAACTGTGAGCTGACCCTCCTCTGAGCAAGAAACCAGAACAGCAGAACTCCTGACATCCCTTCCAAACTGAGCAGTTCTGCATTTCAGTGAAAGTACCATAAGAAATCCCTAGAGGTAAAAAACTAAAAAGAAAATAGAGAAAAGGTATTAAGGTGTAAAGGTACTCCTGTGCCTGAACAAAAATTACAAGTAAACACAAGAGATGAAGCATTATTGAGACTGAGCAACAGCAGCACAGGTACAAATGAGTAAAACTTTGTTTAATTTGAATGTTTTAAAGTGACAAAACTCATCAATTACTATTTATCAATAAAAATCTTATGTTTAACAGTGCAGTTAACTGTAAAGAATTTGAACTAATTTAGAATTTCACGGAAAGAGAAATAAATATGTCCTTTCTCTATTCCTAATTATCTGAAGTAATCTCTTGTTTGTCCATTATAATTAATGGACAAAATCCTTATTTCAGAATTTTAAACAAAAAAGCCACTGAAGACCACAAATAAAACACTGCCTGCCACACCAGCTCACAGGAGCTTCACATAGCTAAAATACACCAAAATGCCTCCACCTGCCACACAAACCTTGTAAATGCTACAGGCAAGGTGAGAAGCTCTTCTGGATAATATTCAAGGTAATCATCATTTCTCAGCCTGAGAACTCAAAGCATTGCCTCCTAAAACTACTGAAATCATTTATTTTGTATTTTAACTAGCAATGGAAATATGAAAGAGCAATAAGATAATTAGCAAAGAGCTTTTTTTTTTTTTATTAATTAAAATATCAAAATTCCAGGTCTGTTGGTGTTGAAAGGGTAAATGCCATGGGCAGGGCAGTTCCAATGGCAAAGGCCAGCTGAAATCCTCTTATCTGATAACTCTCACTTATACTGGACTGCTGATGTGTTTCAGCACAGACTAAACAAGAGTCCTTCAGAGGGTTTTCCCAGATTGGCTTCTTCACATATACTGACACATTTGTTCCTGTCAAACACTTTTCAAAATATATTGAGCTAAAAATTGTAATAGTCTCAATTGTTTCATGTACATGAGCTTATACCTAAAGAGAACCTGTGCCATGGAGCTTTATTTTGCTACCACTTAACTTCCAAAAGTCAATCTTTAGAACCAGTACTGACTTATAGGAAATTCTACTCCTTCCCTCTAAACAAGTCCTGTTGCTTTCCTTGTAAGAAATTAAACCTTAACACCATTATGTGCACACTTTTCACATAACCACCATCTTAAAAATTCAGTTCAGAGACTGTTATCCTTACAAGAACACACACACACAAAAGAACACCAAAACCAAGGAGGAAGAGCTGAGCAGTAGATTTCAATTTCCAGAGTTTTTAAGTTACACAGTTTAAAAAAGCTGCAAACACAAAACACTGCGTGAAACACAAAGCAATTATTTTTTGTTGGGTTCGACAGCCACAAATAAAAACACAGAACTGCACACTTACCAAATCTTAAAAAAGCATGCGCAGATGAGGTTCTGTCATCATCCAAACTGGCCATTTCAAATTGGTGCAGCTAATCACAAACGTCTCAGGCTAAGCTACAGCAATTTTCAAAACTGTTTAGTAAATGTTAAAGGCAACCAGCATTAAATTAAGTGAAAGCAATGTTAGTGGAATTATTAAAATGACAGACTGTACAGAGCACAAAGGGTAGTACCATTTTGTTATATTTTATGCTTTCCCTCTTCCACTGTACAAATCATTTTTATTTTTCCTCCAATAAAACTTAACTAAGTAAAATGGCACAGGCTACACAAACTCCATCTTTTGGACATTCCACAGAAAATTTTTTTGTTTCATACAAAAACTGCTACTAAAATCCATAGATGATGAATAAGATCTATATTAAATATCTCAGGATTGTATAAAAACGATTAATTAATACATATAAAAGCGTAAAGCAAAACTAAGTGCAGAGCTAAAATTCTGCTTATGCATAGTGTTGCCTTTATCTACATGGAATTTACATTGGGATGCTCCTTTCAGTCATAAATTGCTTATTGTACTGAATGTCTGTAACCTGATGTAGAACTGCCAGTTGGAAGGTACAATAAGAAAACACCACTTGAAGCCAACATGACAAGTTGTTCCAAATCCTTAAAGCAGCTTATGCTCTTTACAATAGCTACAATTTCAGAGGTTGCAGGCTGGACAGTTTGCTGAATACCATTACGATCTGCTTCTGTTAATTATCAGTAGCAACAAATGATACAACAATCACTTTGGGAAGAAAAAATCTCAGTAAAGCTTGTTTCTACTGGCCAAAATGTAGTTCAGGTTTTAACATACATAAGCATTATCTCCTACAGGACTGGGTCTTCAATGATACCTTGCTCCCAGTTGTGAAGCACTCATGCATCTAACACACATGAGCCCAAACAGATAGATAGCTTCCATAGTTATTTATCTTACTCCTAGCACCACATTAAAAATAGAAGCAGTGCTGTTAGTAAACTGGGACTCAGCATAGATTTCACTCAACTCAGGGCAGGCTGGGGGCACTGCAGCTGCTCCCCATGACAATAACAGCCACAGTCCTTCTGACTGCCAGAAATTAAGCGTGAGAGCTTTTAAGCTACATACATTTCTGAACAGTTATAAAAAATGTAGGAGTAAATTTGAGGAACAAGAACATGACTTTTATTCTTAGGTTAGAATGTTACCTGAACTAGAACATAGAAAATTTAACTTCAGAACCAACTCATTTATCAGAAAGACGTTTGAACTAAAATCAAGTTTATTTCTTCAGTAAATAAATTTATTCCAATTCTAAGCGACAAAACCTCTGAACAGGAAAAGAAGCAACTGAACTCCAATAACAGCCTATCACTACAGCAGAAGAGACTTTCATACACATTTAATTAAAAAGCAGAAGGTAGCAGCAAAGAAAATGTCAAGCATTTAAAATCAGCCAAATGCCTGCAGCGGCAGAGCCCATCGCGCACAGGGTCCCCCAGCCAGCACACAGCCCTCAGGGTGACTCAGGGTTCACACACTCAAGCACACAGGACCCAGGCTTTATCTTGTGCTCTATGGCTATGTTCACAAATCAGTTCACAGACAGCAGCACTGTGTAATCTGCATTGGCTGTCACATAACGATTCATCCCATGGGCATCCTTTAATAACGGTAGCTTGAAGATCAGTACTATGCATAAGTAGAATTTGTCAAGTCCCATCCATGCCAGCATTCTGTAATCGGTCCCTTTGCTGTGAGCACTCCTGAAGGCCCACCTTCCTCCCCCGCTGTCTGACCCTCATTACCACAACACAAACCCAAAAATCCTGTTTGAGCTCCGAAAGAGTGCTTAACAAACACAGAAGCACCAGGGATGCTTTGGGAAACTGTTTCCAGAACAGCACTGCCGGGTGAGGCCCCCCTAGTCCTGCATTTAGAAACAAAAACTAAACCAAAAACAGCAGGGGTTCAGAAGCCCAGGGCCCCACAGCGCACCTCATCCTGCCAGCCCGTGGGCTGAGGCAGAATCCAGCTGCCTGCGCTCCAAGTTCTGCACGAGGAATCCCCACGTTAAAATCAACAAAGCTTTACCCTAGGGACACCGGGCAAAAAAACGGGACTTCATTTTTTAAGCCTTCGTCTGCCAAACCGCCGAACAGCACCACAGCACTACCCTCAGAAGCAGCTTCCCCCAACGCCGTGCCGTCCAGCACCCGGCCCCCTCTGTCCCTCTGAGGGCCCTTAGGCTCAAGCGGCCGAAATTCGGGGCTCGCGACCCCGTGTGAGGGTGGAAGCGGCTCCACGCTCGGTGAGGGGCGGCTGCAGAGCGGGGCAGCCCGGCCCGGCCAAGCGGGGCTCCCGAGGCTTGGGGCACGCGCCGGCAACAGGTGTGCGGCTCGGGGCGGCCGGGCCCGCGCTGAGTGACGCGCGAAGCTGTGGAGAAAAACGGCCGAGGGAAGGAGACGGCAGCGAGGCGAAGGAGAGCGGGCTGCGCGAGAGAGAAGAGAGCGGGGCGAGGGCGGTTAGTGAGGGGGAGAGGCGCCGGCGAGGAGGGGGCGCGGAGCCGTCCCGGGACGGAGCCGAGCGGTCAGACCTGAACGCTTGGTGCGAGCCCGCAGCTCCAGCATCTTCCAGCTGACGTCGGCCATATGGGCCGCCGCCGCGGCCACCGCCGCCATCCCGACGAGCCGCCTCCGCTCCCGCCGCTCCGCTCAAACCGGGACGCCACCGTCCCCTCGGCACCGCGGCGGCGATCTCCGCCCGGTTACCACTACCAGCCGTAAGCCCCCGCGCGGGCCGTCGCGGCGCCGTCGCAAAGCCGCCGGGTCAGCGGCGCCGGGCACGCCCCGAGCTGCCGTAAAGTGTGGCGGGCGGAGCGGCGGGAGCCGGAGCGGCGCGGCGCAGCATGGCGGGGTGCCGCCTCGCGCCGGGGCTGGCGCTGCTGGCGCTGCTCGCCCTGCTCGCCCTGGCGGGGCGCGGCGCCGCGCTGCAGAACGTCACGGCGCAGCTGTTCGGTGCCGAGGCCTACGGCACGCCGGCGGCCTTCGGAGACTTCAACTCAGACAAGCAGACGGACCTGTTCGTGCTGCGCGGCGGTGAGCGCGAGGCGAGGCCGGGCGGGAGTGGGGCCATACCTGGTGCGGGGCTCCGTGCTCCCGCTGCGGGTCGGGCCGTGTGAGCGCCGGACTGCGCCTGGCAGCTGCTGTCCGTGCCCGCCTCGTCACCGGGGTCGCGCTGGAGGGAGAGCAGTGAATAGGGAATGCTTCTCCAGGGTAACGCTGTTGGTTGTGTTACCTCCGAGGTGCTTCCGGTGTGGTAAATGGTGTTTGCGATAGGGCACGGCTGCGGTTAGAAGTTGGCCTTAAAACTGGGGTAAAGCCCTCATCCTACGGAGGTGATGGTCGCAGTGTGAGATTTGTTCCTACGGTCTGTTTTCTCCTGCTGTCGTGGTGTTTTGGGATGCAGAGGTACAGAATGCTTCACTCTTGTATGTAGGACGGTTACACTTCAGCTTGCTTCGAGTGCAGTTGTGGTGCTGGGCCGAGTGAAGACCCACGTAGAAATAAGGCCGTCAGCTCCCTCGGTCCGTGCCCAGCTGAAGGGAGGGCCCAAATCACTGCACACCTGTGATCAGCGCTGCCTGGAAACACTCAGGCAGGTGGGAAAGCCCACACCTGTTATTTGTTTAATCCACCTTCCACTTCTGTTTGATGCCTCTGCCAATGCAGGGCAATGTAGAGTTGTTCCCTTGGTACATTTCAGTGGAGAGTTTTGGAAACTTCACTGGTATCCTTGCTCAGATTTTCAGATAGAGAATTTCATAGATGCTTAGTTGTTGTTTTTCCTTTTACCTCTTGCATAGGCTTTCTCCTTTCTTCTGTACTCTTTGAGGACAAGCAGTCAACACCAAGGATGTGTGGGCCACAGGTTGATGTAGAGGTATCTCAATTATAGGTTGTCCTCTGATAATTCCCAGTAGTCTGTTTGTTTTCACTGCTAATGAACACTGAGCCAAACTTTTTAGGAACATAATGTGTGTAAAGATGCATCTGCTTCAGTGCTGTTATTTTACCACCTAGATGAGAAAAATCCATGGTGTGTGAATGGGAACTGTTAAGTTGTGGTCTGAACCAGTGACTGAGCACCTGGTGAAGGGCTGTAGCCAGCCCTGGAGCACAGGTGGAAGCAATTCACCTGTGCAACTGGAAGGGATGGACTCAGTCTCCACCCCTCGCTAATCTTGTTTAAGAGCTGGCTGTCACAAGGGACGCATCTCCACTTAGAGATTATCTCTTCTAGAGTGTGTAGTGAGCCCTGACCCTTAGAAAGGTGTGAGCGATTTCTTCTTTGTTACTGGATTGTGACCTCTGCTTTTCTTGAGTGATCCATAACTGGTTTAAAGCAGCTGTATCTGCTATTCCTATTGTTACAGCATGAAATCAATATTAGGATTTTCAACAGTTGACCTACATCTTTATTATCAGACGCTCCACTAGCCAGCAGGCTTCTTCCTCTTGTGTGCCAGCCTCATTCATCTGTGAATGTATCATGCAACCCTGGCTGTATTAGCTTGCCAGATGGGACTGTGCTGGTTGCCTCTATCTGGAAGGGGTTTGTTTTCATTTACTCATTTGTTGGCATCTTCTCCTTTGCAAACACGTTTATGGCAGCTATCCTTTTGTTTCATACCTAGGAAATTTTTATTCTGCCCTTTCACAGCTTTGATCTTTGCTGCTGAATTATGCCCTTGAAATATGCTCTAGTAGTTCCAGTTTAGAGCTATAGGATTATTTTCATGTAGGTATCCTAGTTGTTATATGTTGGGATGCTACAGGTGAGCTTATTAGAGAGTTAAGGAAATAAATATAATAAAAGATGAGTAAGGACATTGTATTTTTTTTTTCTTTTAATTCTGAGCTGTGATTTTATACTCGTAAAAGTATAAGGACTGCTTACAAAGTAATGTCTCCAAGTTTAATGTGTCAGCCCACAATGTTGGAGTTGGATGTGGTTGGTGTGGCAGTAGATGTAATGGGGTAATGGCAGGAGGACTTAATGTTTTGTTGCTGTGTAACAGATGGCAGCAGAAGGGCAATCTAACAGAATGCCATCTGACATTGAAGTGCAGTTGAAGCAACTGAAGGTCTGTGGCTTGTGTTATTGCAAATGAGGAAGTTCTGCTGGGGATCAGGTTACTTCTCTGAGTTTCTTAACGTGCTTTTGTGGGGAGAGTAGGCAAAGAATCCTGCTGTGTCAGAGACAATGTTACAATAATTCGTTCAAGTTTATTTTTTTGTATATAACTGATGCCTAATATTTTTCCTCAGGTAGTATTTGCTAATTCAGTATAGGAAGTTTAAAACAGTATGATAGCAGTAGCAAAGAGAAAGGTTTAATGCCAAGCCCCAAAGAACAGTCTTGAATTAGCATTCCTCTGATGCTAGTAGACGATGTCAATGATACAATTAAGCTTTTAGTATTATACTGAAGAAGTATTTCTTTTGCTTCCTTTCTAATGAGGAAGAAGTGGTTGTATTTTTGATTCTGTGAGGAATTCCATTTGTAGAGTAACTCCTTAAGCATTGTTTTTTATATAAGCCATTTATGATCCTTATCTATGAAGTTTATACGTTGCCTTATTTGCTTTGCAGGAAATGAATTGATTATCTTTTTGGCAGACCAAAAGGAACCTTACTTTAAGCCCCGTGTTAAGTTACCGATGAAGTAAGTGTTGGTATTGAATGGTGAAACAATTCACCATTCAGTTTTTGTTTTTTCTTTTTAAGGGGAGGGATGGGAAGTGCATCTTCACAGTCAGTCAGGACTAGAACCTTTGTGGTTCGGCTTGTACTTAGGTGTGCTCTTTGAGCAAGAGGTTTTTTCAGTAATTTCTGGTACCCTTTTGTTTTCCTTTTTTAATTTTATGGTTCATGTGGCATAAAATCTGGAAACAAGTTTTGTCATGCACGCAACTAAGTAGTAGATGTGACTTTACACAAGTCACATCTACTTACACAATTTGTAACCCCTTACACAATTTGTGTGCTTTGATTTTGCTTTGTACTTGTATTTGGTTTTTATGTACACATTGGTCCTATTATTTGCATTTGAGGCCTTTTTAAATTTGTTTTTAATTCTAGATCTCTAGGTGTTATCATAACCAGTGTAGTTCCAGGAGACTATGATGGTGACTCACAAATGGATGTCCTCCTGACTACCCGCACACAAAATCATGGCAAAGATGAACTTTCAGTGTTCATTTTCTGGGGACACAACCAAACATTAGGTGAGTTCTGAGACTTATTAACAAGATTTTTGGATTTCTTAATAATTCCAAGTATTTTCAGAAAGTTGTGCCATGTTACATTTATGCTTAAAGTAATGATTAGCAGCTGTGTAGCTTCATACCCATGTAGTATTTTGCTATTAAACATTATTTAGTAATTAATGTAAGAAAACAAAACTATGATAAGAAAACAATGCTTTTATATCATGCAACATGTATAACCAAACAATATTACAGATTGATAGTAACTGACTATCTAAAGGGTGACTTGTTGCAGCTTCCCCATTACACATGTCAGTTTCACAAGGATTATCCCTAAAGACTACCATATTTGATTATAGAATGTGCTAAGAACATAGTGTACACTTGAGAGCTTAAATTTTCAAAATGTCATACCTAAACTGACCCACATTAATATAACTCTCATATTGCTGTTAAAACCAGATTCGTTAAAGACAGATTCACTCTGAAATAGGTTTTGGAGAAGAAGTTGTGAAGTCTCTGTCATTGGAAGTTTTCAAGAACCTTAGACAGTCATCTTTCAGCTGTGTTCTAGGTATCTAGCAGTGGTCTGATTGTATCTTAGAGTCATAGACTGTGTGACTACTTGAAGTCTTTATTTTCTGTTGAGCTTGCTAGAAAAGCTTTTTGGGAAGAGTTTACACTTGAAAGAAGGACCGAAAAGCCGCAGAAAATCATCTTAAGTGTACAAAACATATTGGAAAATACTATTATGATCAATTACATTATAAAATAGTCATGGATGGTGCAAATGATGGGTGGCATTAGAGGCTGTTGGTTCTGGCTTTATCCAGAGAAGCATTGAGCAGCGCAGAAAACTGCACTGGATCGAGTGTTGAGAGAAGAATGAAGTTGTAGTGTTAGGAAGAATGTGAAGGATTTAGGTGAACTTGTGCTGTCTTGTGACTAAACAAACTCCGGGAGAGGCACAAGTGGAGCTTAGAAAGAAGTCAGAGGCTGGTATGCAGTGAGGCTACTGGAAAGGTGTGCTGGTGCTTACCTGAATAATGGAAGTATGACAAATCAAGAGCAGGATAATGTGGAGACTGGAGTTAAGACAAAAAGTACAGGGAGGCAGGCGAGCTGGAATGATGTGGCAAAGAGCTGGGATTAGAAGTGAAAGTCAAGTCTTAGAGGTGATTGAGACTTAAAATCCTCATTTCCCATTTAAACCGTCTAGCTCTAATGTTAATTTCAGATGTGCGGTGGATCTTGTTAGCAGTGTATTTTATAGTAATAAAATGTTAAGCAGAAGTCCTGTGTGCAGTGATAAATTTGGAGTATCTTCGTCCCAGCTAGTTCAGATTTCGTATGAGAATGGTTTTTCATGAAATAAATTTCACTGAGATCTGTTTGTTTATTGAAAGTTTCAGTGTGGAGAGAAGCAGCTTCAGCATTTGAGCTAGTACTTACCTGTCCAAAATTAAAAGCTTAAATTAAAGCTTTAGCTTTAGCTTAAACCTTTATCTTTTATCTCCAGGAGCGTTTTGTTTTGTATCTTATATATTTTTTTCTTATCAAAAAGTTAATAACTCTAATAGAAAAAGGACTATATTTGCTAAATGTTACTCCCATAACATATCTGTAACTTAATAGAATGAATGTTTCCTGTTTTCAGATCTTAACCATAAAACTATGATAAATAAGACTTTTCATGATGAGCCTCTAGTAATGGAGTAAGTATCACCTACCTTTTAATTAAAATGTTTTGTACTAGTGACTAATAGCAACTTAATAGGTATGTTTTAACACTAAAATTTAAAACCTGCTCCTCTCAAGAAGAGGATGGCTTGTCGTTTGTCAAGTGACCTAATACAAGATGACAAAACAGATATGTAAAAATGGTTGATATAATATATATATATGTATATAAATACATATCAGCCTGGCCACAGCAATTAAATAAACTTTGACATTTCTTAATCTCAGTGCTCTGTGTTGCATGCAAAAATTAAAAAAAAGACCTTTACTTGTAGTGAATTTCAAAGGAAAAAAACCACAACCACCTTACTGGCTTATCCCAGTGTGAAAGTATTTGTTCCTCAGCTTGAATGAAGAATATGTGGAAAATCTAGCAGGAGGGTCAGGCAGCAGGTACTTGTTGGGGAGAAGCAAGTTTTTGCTCTTTCTGTACTTCTACATCTTGTAAGCAATGTATATTTGCATATTGTATTTTCGGTTTATATTGATGCCTTATTTACAATGTCAAATAAGATGCATTTAGTTGGTTATGCTGTTGAGACCTGAGATCATCTTCCAGTGGCAATGAAATTCAAACCTTGTTCACGAAACTCCTGTTCATGTGAGTGTATAGTTATACAAGAACTATATATGTATCTGGAAATTGGAGAATCCTTGTTTTGGGAAGAGTGGCATGGGTAAGAGACTTGAGTGAGAAGTTTTTGATCAGTTCTGCCTTCTTATATTTGAAGTTTTTAAGGAAAATAACTAGAAATATTTTTTTCTTGTTAAGTAACATGAAGTGACTTATACAACTAGGAAGTCAAATGCATGGCATGGTTTAAAGTACTCAGTGTCCTTTGCATTACTGCTGGCAGCTCAGAGAAGAGCCTCCACAGCTGAAAATTATTAACTGCCTGTTGGGAAAATGCTAAGTAAATACAGGATAGTAAAAAATGGTCAGTTTTCACTCCTGGAATGAGTTAAAGTAATACTGAAACTGTTTTTCACTTTCAGCTTTAACGGTGATTTGATTCCTGATGTCTTTGGTGTCACAGGTGATTCAGATAAGCCACAGATACTGATGGGCGGGTAAGCTAAGTGTTCATTAGTGTGAATTTCAGTAACTTATGAGTCCTCTTCTATTTAGAGACACAGGACTGGAGCTGTGTGCACTCGAGTCTTCTTTCCACATGTATATATGAACATTTTATTACAGCACCTAATTGTGTTAGGCTATTTATTAAGAAAACATTTGGTATGCTTCATGGGTTTCTTAAAAAGATTTTTGCAAAAGGCAGTAACGATACAAGATTGCATGCCAGTGATGTTCTCTGTATTGCATTTTCTGCTTTAAGGAGTACTTAAGGCCATTTTGCAGCACTCAAGTGTTGTCAGGAGTTTTGTGTGATGGAATTGCAGTGGAAGGAGCTAAGTTTTTGATTGAAGTTTCTGCTAGCCCTGGGATTTCTAGTATGGGACTAGCTAGCAGCTGCTGGGATAAAAAGAGGTTTAATGGGGAATCTCAACGACTGGTAAGGAATATGAAAAAGAGTATTTTTAACTCTTAAGAATGCTCTAAGATTTAACAATTTTGCTGTTAATCTCTAAAATTAAACAATAACATTTGACAATGAATTACTGGGGGGGAAAAATCCAGGACTATGCTTGTTTATTCTTACAGGGTTGGACCTTCGAAGATTTTAATTCTAGCTTGATATTTTGCAGCTTTTAAGTGGAACTGGATAACGTCTTGAATGCTGTTTAGTAATGCTAACATAGAAACTTGCAGCTCCCTGTGTTGCACAAGAAATGCAGGTGTTGATGTAGCCACTCATTCAAGTTCCTGTACAATCAATATTAGTTTGTTCTAAAAGAAAGCGTTAGGAATTCTTTGTGTTCCCATGTGGTTTTCTTGTGGCTATTGTTTTAAGAGGTCTGTTAACACAGGAGAAAGCAATCAGATGATTGCTCTGTCTCTATGGCAACTATACCTCAGATTCTATTGTGCATTTCCATGGCCCCTAAGAAATGTTTTTGGTTTATTTTCCACCATCATCAAGTATTACCTTGCCAAGTGTATTTAACAAGTCTATACCTGTTGCTGATTACTGGTGATTTTCATTTCCTCAGAAGTGATTTGGAAGTAACATAGGGCAAGTAGCATTTAAATTGTAGTTGAAAACTATATTCCCTTCTTGGCAATGTGGTTTTTGTGCATTAATCCTAAGTTGAATTTCATTGCGTTTTTTTTAGTAGATGGCTCCTGGAACAGAACTTTCACTTTTATGACACCTTCTGAAAATAACAGTAGATATTGAAAAATTCAAGTTTTGGAAGAAAGGAAAATAAGGGTCAGATGTTTCTTTTTTTTTTCTTTTTTTGAAATCTTTTTACTAGTAAGTTGATACAAATGAGCTGACTGAGGTCAAAATAAAACTGAGCTGTACATAACTACATGTCTTACATGGGGAAAAAAGCTTTATTTCATTGCTCAGAAAAACATTTTTCCACATCAAATTTAAAAACATTTTAAATTATAGTAGAGCTGCTTAACTTGGCTTACTAACTTCAAAAACAAGTACCTCAGAAGAACTAGAAAATACTTCATTATTTCTGTAAGGGGGCAGGAGATGGTTTTGGTTTGATTGTGCTTTTCTTTGTTATTTTTCTAGTTTTTTATTCTAAACTTTCAGGAAAAGACAAGAAATTGTATCACCTCCTTGGGAAATGACATCATTAGCATATAGTCTATCCTGTGTGGCAGGCATGAGCTTATTTCAGCAGCATGTGATTGTGTCCATTTCTTTCATCTGTTGGTCCAAAGGACATTTCTTAAGTACTGATAGTAAAACTGCAGGAGGAAAAGGAAAGGGAAATGAAGTTTTTCAGGATTTCTAGTGGTGGAATCCAGGCTGTTTCACTTTGTGCATAATGATGCTTTTCTGTACAAAGAAACTTATTTTAGAAAGTTAGTATAATCTAACTGAAGCCTTTCCTCTGTGAATCATCTTTTAGAAAACATTTCAAGCAGTTACTTACTACTCATTTAGTGTATTGTAAGCTAAGATGTAATGTTCATTTAATGGTAAAAGAATGCAATTTATGTTCAGTTTTGTTGTGTTGTTTCTTTTTTTAAAGGTGTATTTATCATGGTTAAGTCTGTCAGCACTGCTGAAATGCGCTGCTTTTTCTTCTTGCCTTGTAGGAACTTGTCGCGGCATGCTGCACTGGACACCCAGAGTAGAATGTATGTGCCACACTCTCATGCGTTTATAGACTTAAATAATGACTTCACAGCTGGTAAGTCATAAAAGTGCTAAATACTTTCCTAAGATTATTTATCACTTTAATTTGTCAAGTTATCAAATTATTAATATACAGATTAAATATTAATTTATAAATTATTAACTTATTTATCACAATATTATATATTGTATGTATCTTTCTAACATTTGGGGCGTTTTCATTGACAGTCGTTCTAGAATGCTCTGTTCAGTAACTATGACCTTGCTATTTGTGATTTTTAATCAGTACCTACAATTCAAATAATGTTGTTTTTTTAAATAAAAAATACCAGAATGAATAATTTTCTGTTTTATAATTTAATGAATAATAATGCTTGTTCTCAATAATTGTTTGCCATCAGAGCATCTTCCTCTTAGAGATGTTTCTCTGCTATTCAGAGTTTGCAGCTCTGTCACTGCTTACTGCACTTCCTCCTTTTTCATTTTGAAAGTAGTTCATTCAGAGACGTGTTTTCAACACTGGACTTAACTCATGATTTCTTTCTTAGAGAGGTCAATGTGATTTCGTTCTGTTTTGCTATAGTTTATTCTAGCACTGAGAAAACCACGTGAGACTTATTCTATTACAACCTGAACATTCCTATAAGCTATTTATAACTCAGTATACACAAAAAATACTGGAGACAATTTTGTTGTGGTAGATAAAAAAATGTATTCTTGTTTTGTGGTGATTGATGGTTTGGTGATTTTGTTTTATTTAATGTTTGTTTAGGTCAAATATGTAATGCATCTTAGCCTTCAATTAACAGAGATCTATTTATCACTTCTGTGGTTCATATCTCAAAGCATATTTAAACACCTTGATAAACTTCATTTACTTTCTTAAAACACTAAATGGGTTTTGAACTGCTTTCTCTTTTGCTAGTTGTGCTTTATAGATCAATTCACGTATGGTAGTTTGGGTAGGAGAGATGTTTCTTTTCCCCTTTTTAGTATTACGGGAATGAGAGAGGAAAGAGTTCATAAACTTAATTAATATGCTTTTCATTTTTAGGGATTAAGTTAATTACTTCAGTGCTTAGTCAAACTGTAATACTCATTTCTGGCACACTGCTGCATGAAGCTGTCAAGTGGAAATTCCAACTGGAAAATTAGGTATATGGTTGCTTACTGTAATCAGTGTCATGTCAATAACCAGTGCTAAGGCACTTAGCTATATACACCCTTTGGAATTTTGTCTGGGCAGCGAAGAGGTTCATTCCAGGTAATTTTTTAAAGATGAGTATGTGGGCATATAAGTTCACAGGTACATAAAGGTAGGAACTCCTAAGTTATTCCTATGGATCAGTCACAGAAGAGTTTTGGCAAGTGTACTCAGAGCTATCTATGACAGCCAAGTTAGCCTACAAAATGTCAAGAAAGTTCCTGTTAGTGCTGATGATACATGGAAAATTTATCCATTCAATACAAATAGATGGCAGTATCTGTATGGGGAGTACTGGGAGCTGTTATTTTCATATCTGGATATGTGAATAGAAGCTTCTTGGAAATCTCCCCCCTCAAAGACACAGATTTTTCTTTCCTTCTAGCAGCACAAATACAAATCCTCAGGCTGGAATCTATGGACCAAAACAGTCTGTAAACTGTTGACAGTTATGTTAGAGCAATCTAAGGAAAACTTTAAGAAAAATAATTCATTCTGAGAAAAAAATACGGAAAAAATATTACTATTAAATTATTTTCTTTGAAGTAACTGCTTGTTAGTAATATGGGAAGCTGCTTTCGCTAGCCCTATGAAAGCTAGATCAACAGTCAGCAAAGCATACGTTGCAGAAAAATAATACTTTATCAGTGATATTTGATATTTCATGGCTGACGTGTTATTGCAGGACTGCCTGCTGCCAAAACAAAAAGCCGCCTGGTCCTGACTGTACATTTATGGCAGTTTGCTCTCATCTGCTCTAGTAACTGTATGAGGGAGAGGGTGTGGAACATGATTCATTTTCACTTGACTTATTAAGCTGATGCAAGTTATCACGGAGCTTCAGGGTTACCAGAGCTAGTGTAAGCACAGAGAGAAAATAAACTCCTCTTTCTAGTAGCAGCAGATGTACATAGTTTGCCTATAGTCAAGCATGGAATTGCACCTCGAGACTCATTGTTCCTCTTTAAAAAATATATATACTTGTTTAGTATCCTCACAGTGTCATCTTTAATTTGTGCTAGGCTGTACAGAGTTTGGCAGATGACTCATGGAAGTAATGATGAAAGTAGTTCAGCTCTGATGTGGTTTTGTTTACTTTTTGTTTTGCATTTAGTTAAAAACAAACAAACAAACAAAAAAACCAACCACCAACCCATATGTAACTGCATACCTGGTACTGGCAATACTGGGATTCTAAATGCCTTCTGCCAAACAGTGCCAAAATAATGTGCTGATAGTGCTGAAGTGTGCACACAACCACCCTGTGCCCCTGCGCAGTGAGGGTAGACTTCACAGGGCAGTTCCTTGTTTCTCCTATTTGTTTAGCTCTGTCAGCATAGCTGGGGCAGCACAGCCTTACGGCACCAGGCAACATTCTTGCTGTGTTATTTCTCAGTGCAATCTGTTATTTGTTGGTTGATCGAGGCAGAGCTAGTGAAAATGAGAGAATTCTTGTAATTATCATAACATGCACTGCCATTCTTGATTAGGAACAAAATTTTTTAAGGATAGGTTTTGGTCCATGTTAAAATCCTATTAATTACAAGGGAGGAATTGATGAGGATGCAGAAGTTTAGTCTGCATGCTGCAGTCCAAAAGACTTAATACTATTACAGCATTCAGTACTGCTGTGCTGCTTTTTAACTGAAAAAATCAAGTCTTTACTTGTGACAGTGCCACTGTTTATGATTATGAAAATAAAAGCCATTCAGAATGCCCAGTGTTCACTTTTTTTTTTTTTTTTTTTAAGACATTTTTCTAATGTTCTGAAATGTTTTGGGGGCTTTGTATTGAACAACAGATGCAGCCAATTCAGTGGTTTTTATGCTAGGCTATTTTTGGTAACTTCATTATTATAAAAAGCTTAGGAGATTTAAAGTGTACTTTATGTTAAAAATAATAGTAATAATAAAATCAAAAATCCTCTCCGAGCTGAGAATCTTTTCTGCTAGTTTATTGTCTAATCCATTTTCAACCTGCCAAGATATAAACACTCAAAACAGATTTTAATTGGCACATTTCTCCTGCTCTGGGTGAAACGAAGTCAAATCGTTCTGATTTCATTATATGAGAGCATGTTCATGAAGATGTTTTTAATCCCTAACAATGCTTCATGAAAGGCTAACTGTGTAAGGATTTTACAAATCCAAAAATCCACTAACCAGAACAAAGATAATGCTAATCTTTCTTGGTGAGATTTAAACTATGTTGTTTCAGATAGTAATGTTGCTGCTGTTTTTCAATTAAACCATCATTGTTCTATTTTTATAATTTTTAATTTGGTAAGTAAATTTAACTTGGGCTAGGAATATTAAATAATCCATGTAGAAATATGCAGTATAATTTTTTCCCGAAGGGTTTGTTTGTGCTTTGTGGATAAGAAAAAGATACAAATTTTTTAAGTATCCTCTTCATGCGTACTAAGTGTGTGCTTCTCCAGGGAAGAGTATCTAGTTCACAGAATGGCTGCATTTGGACAGGGTGTCTGAATCACACAGAATCACAGAAACACCAAGGTTGGAAAAGACCTATAAGATCATCCAGTTCAACCATCCTTCTATCACCAATAGTTTTCACTAAACCATAGCCCTCAACACAGAATCTGGAGTCTGGAGACTGTCCAGTTCAACCTGCCCAACGCAGGATTAGAGCAGGTTGTTTGGGGTTATGTCCAGTTGTCTTTTGAATGTCTCCAAGGACAGAAGCTCTGCAACCTCCCTGGGCAATGTTTTCTAGCATTTAACTACTCTGACAACAGAAGAAGAGTTACATTTAAGTAGAAGTAGTTTTAAATAGTTAAGTGGAATTTCTTGTATTTCAGTTTGTACCTATTGTCTTTCATTCTGTTAACTAGGTGCCAACCAGAGAAGAATCTGGCTTTGCCAGACCTTGTCTCTACGTATGCACATATGCACATATGTTATCAAAAAGCAATTTAATTTTAAATATTGTATCTTAATGTTTTTAAAACAGTACAAAAAGTTGTATAGTATATAACGTAGTGCTCATTTTCAGCTCATAGTTACACTTCATAATACCTCAACCTTAATAAAGTCACGCCCTTCAATAGTGCAGTGTGCCTTACTGAAGTGGTACAAAAGAAATGTGTGGCCTTTGAAAAATGTTTTACTTGTTTAAAAACAACACTGAAATTAGCATTGAACTTGAGATAAGAATAGTGAAAATTTGTGCCCTTTGCTCGGTTTATCAGTATGTGCATTTCAGTGATGTAGCTGAATCTTTCTTCAGCAGTTCATTAAAGAGTTTCATAACTTAGTGAAAAAATAAAATGTAACTGGGTAAAAAACACTAATTTAACTGTGCATCCACATACGAAGTTTGATCATTTTTCAAGAATGAAAGTGTATTTCCAAGTGTGATGGTGGTGGTTTTCACCTCGGAATTTAAATTTCAAGGTCTTAATGACTTCAGTGTGGAGCAAATGATAAGTACATGTAATTGCAGGTTTTTATAGTTCTAGACATATGAGACACTGGCTATATTTTAAAATGTTGTACTCATTTGCTGTTTCCCAGCTTTGTTCCAGAACCCATTTTTTATTTGTGAAGGATCTGAACTTTCAGCCCAGACATTTGAGGTCAAATTGCATCTTACATCTATGTCATATTTTCCACATGCCATGAAATAGACTGAAAGATGAGAAAAATGTGGTGACCTTTGTTAGAATGGGGTTACTGGGTGTCTAGGAGTACATAATCACAGTTATTAGCTAGTTTAAGAACATAATCTTGAAGTTAATAACAATAGGCTTGTCTGGACAGATTAAGGTGTGTTTTATAGAGCAGGACTGCGTAAATGAGCATTTGCAAAGGACACTCCATGAGTAAGAG